AAGACAAAACTTTTAGTGACCATTGATGACTGAAGAGGCACATTCTTGTTGGATGGAGACTTCTACCAGAAAAACTTATTGCCTGTTCTCTTCATGACGTTGGCACATCAGCCACAGTGTCACTGTTGAGAAGTTTGCCATCACTTTTTGATGCTAGTATGAAGCTCATAACATTGTCCAAATCAACCTAAGGCTGTTTGCTGTCAAATTATCTACAGCTGACGTTAACATCAATATGTTGGGAATGTGAAACTTCATTCACAACCCCCAAAGCGAAAAATGTTGGTCACTGAAGAAGAAGCAGATAATCACAGTTCCAACTTCATGGCAGACGGGGGTCCCCCTATAGTTGCTCTGTTTCTGTGGCAACAGAAACCACACATAATGTTCATCACTTTCTCTTGTGAAAAAACTGACACACAGACTGCAGTCTCAGCAAAACCATTAGCACACACATGCATTAAATGCATGAGGCAGCCATCAGAAGTGCAAACATGAAAAGTTTGGCACTATAAGCAGTTACAACAGATCAGTAGTTGCACATGCAAACTGATGAAGAAGAATAAGACGAGGATGAAAACTGTCATACCTAGTGTCACAGACCTCTGGGTGACCTTGCTGGTCTGTGGCTCGTAACTGGGCCTATGACAGACAGACTAACCTTCAACACACACTGAACCCGAACGCACACAGAGCACACACGACAATCTTTATTGGAAGTACAGGTAATACATAGACAGTTGACTTCCCGCCGTGTGGCCACCTATTGTCTGGACCCTCTGGCTGAACGGGCTTTACAATCGCCTCGTCCCCAGTACGTGCGACAGGCAATCTTCTGGTGTACAAACCACAACCCGGCAGGATACGCTCTCTTCTATCGCCACGCTGACCCAATCAAACTGTCACAGTCTCTGTCTTAGTGCAGGGTCAGAGTGTCAAGGCTAGCCACTCTCTCACAGCACATATACATAAATACTCTACACAAGAACTATCCTATCCTAACACAAAACTGTACATAAACTATCCAGTCACTAACAGAAATATATCCTAACTTTAATACTATAACATAACTGTCTTGCTAAACGTCCTCTCTTCCTGACCGACGCACACCGAATGTCCTGTTCTCTCTCCCCCGTGTCTCTTGACCCCGTTCACCAGCTCAGTCCCAAAAGCAGTCATCGTGTTACTACAACACAGTTAAGTCTTTCTTGCTTTATCCTGAGCGCTGGTTTCGCCGTGCGATCACAGAACGGACTTGACCAGTCACGGCCCTGACCTTTGTGTCAACCCTGGGGTGTCACGTCAACACCCCCACCTACGGTGTGGTACACTGACTGTACTTGATAGGGTTGTGACATTCACCCTTCCTCTGAACTGATACTTCCTGACAAAGTCAAGTATCAGCAAAGCATGGCCTGCCATCATGTACAGTCATCTTTTTAAATTTTACCGTCAACATTTAGTTACCTAAAAAAAAATAATACGTCATGTACTGTTGGGTCAATCACCTAAGGACAAACTATCTGGCACATATTTAATGGGTATATACATTCAATGGGCAAGCTCCTCCCTAATGGGTAGAAATGGTATCAGCCCTTGACACAAATACGTCACTACTCATTACACCTTCAAATCATATGGGTAATGATATAAATAATAATTTGGGTGGACACTCAAATCGTCCGGGACCCAATTACACCTTACTTCACTTACTGTGCAAGTAAGACGCCACTGTATACACTCCCAAGCCGTTTAACCAGCGACACCGTGATTTATAACAGTGGGCGTCATGGACTATCCCCACAAGGCTTGTCCATGGTTGTGAAAAGGAGTCATGACCTGACTCCCCGACCTACAGTCGTATAATGTGTCCGCGAATCCGCAGTACCTGCCAAGACACAAATCACCCCATATGACCCACAGTGCAAACTAGACAGTAAACAAATCTGTAGCCAGTTGGACACACTCCTATCCTCCAAGGATAGTGCTACTCCTCAAATGTAGTCTCCATATATGCGATACTAGTTACACCATCATTAACTCTCCATGTGAGTGCCCTTGTAAAAGTACAATCTAACTTTCATTTAAATTGTCAATCATCAATTTTAGAAAGCAAAATAAACAATTTAAAGAGAAAAAAAAAATTAAAATAAGTTCATTTTACTGCCAAACTAAATTGTCAGTTATTTTAAAGTCTACTAGTTTACAAAGTTATCTACCTATAATGCATTATTGTCTAACATATACTTTAACATTTACATTTAGTGCCCATAGGACACTCAGTTAATATTAAACTCATTGAAACTTTTAATAAAAGTAATGGATTTCAGATTAAGTTTCAAAAACTGAAGAATATTATTATTGCAATTTGAGAATACTAAAACAAAAATAATTGCAAATCAAACAATTAACATTACTTATGTAATCTAACAAAAATCTTTAGCAAAGAAAAGAAAATAAAATATATTTGTAGAATTCAAATGGATTGTCCCACAAATAATTTTACACTGAAAATAAATAAGCAAAATACATACATAATAATTTCACAAACAAAAGTCATTACCCTATATTCATTCCAACAAAACATAAAATTTACAAATCAAAATAAATAAGCAAAATATACATGAAATAATTTTCAAACTCAAAATTATTTCCCTTTTATAAATACCACCTCAATAGTTACAAATCAAAATAAATAAGAAAAATAAATACCGATAAATTACTCATCATAGATACCAACACAATAATTACAAATCAAAATAAATAAGAAAAATAAATTTAGATAAATTACTCATAGATATCAACACAAAAGTTACAAATCAAAATAAATAAGAAAAATACACAAATAAAAATTGTGCAAACGAAATTGAATGAATAAACTTATCAATTCAAAACCAAATAATATACATGAAAGAAACATATACAACATATAGCACATACAGAACATATAAAACATATATAATCCATACAACATATATTATATTAAAGATGAACATAATAAGATTAACTTATAATATGACAATCACAACATAGCCTTCTATTCTATACATTCATTCCCTTTTATTCCAATTACACTCTTCTTTCATACATCACATTTTCCATTCTGCTGAAGTCCTTAGAATGATCATCACCTCTATCTTCCTGTTGGGTAATCTTTTACGATTGTTCAGTTCACTGGTTTTAGGCTAGAACAGCATTTGTATACACTGCTACTTGTCATTTACTGTTGTTCAATTGGATCTATGAAACTTGGTGTAGAATTTCGTTATGAAATAATTCATAGTCATGAATACATAAATACATGAAGACAATGTCTTTTCACAGTCTTTAAATTTCTGAAGTTACCAGACTGTCAGTTTCAGGATACAACTTACAGCCGGCTTAATAAGTCAGCCAGGTTGTTGCTGTTGCCCTTGATGTGTGTGATGGTGAATTGGAAATCTTGCAGTAGCAGTGCCCATCTGGCGATTCGATTGTTCTTTGGGGCACCAGACTTAATGACGAGCAATGGCTGGTTGTCTGTTTGTAGGACAAAAGGTCTGCCAAGGAGGTAACGTTTGAGTCTTGTCACACAAACAATCACTGCAAGACACTCCTGTTCTGCCGTCGAATAGCGTTCTTCGGCTGGAGACAATTTCCTGCTCACGTAGCAGATTTGGTGTAGAATCTCGCCATCAAACTGCATTAGACATCCCGCAACTGCCGTACCACTGGCATCATATCTAAGAACAAAAGGCAATTGAAAATTAGGAAGTTTTAAAATAGGTGGACTGGAGAAAAGAGTCTTGATTTTGGTGAAAGCCTGATCTAGTTCTCGGTTCCACTCAATTGTATTAGAAGATCCCTTTTTAAATAATTTAATGAAAGCGGTGGTTTCTTGGCTGAAGTTCGGTATAAATTTATTGTAATAATTGATGAGGCCGAGTAAGCTTCTGATTTCGTTTTTGGTGGTGGGGTTTTTAAGATTCAAAATTTTTAAAATAATTTTTTCATCACTCATGATCATCCCTTTCGAGATTTTATGACCCAAAAAATCAATTTCTTCAAAAGCGATTTCAACTTTAGATGGTTTGATCGTTAATCCAAATTCTTTAATTCTCTCAAAAACAGTTCGGAGTGTGGTTACATGTTGAGCAAAATTATTACTAAAGATACATATATCATCTATGTAGGTAGCAACATCAGGTATGTCTTTTAGAACTAATCTTGTGAGTCTAACGAAGGTAGCAGGGGCATTAATCAAACCGAAGGGCATATATTTCCACTCATACAGGCCTTCTGGTGTTGGAAATGCGGTTATGTGCATAGAGCTCTCTGTCATCGGGACTTGCCAATAGCCTTTGGTCAAGTCAAGTTTTGAAAAGACTTTAGCATTCCCCATTAAAGACAATAGGTCGTCAGCATTAGGTATAGGTTCCGCGTCTAAGTCAGTATGAGAGTTGATTTTTCTGAAATCGACACAGACCCGTATTGACCCGTCTTTTTTTTTCACAATCACTAGTAGTGAACAATAGCAGGAATTCGATCTGGTAATAATGCCTGCTCTATCAAGCATCTTAATTAGGTTAGTCTGTCTGTCATAGGCCCAGTTACGAGCCACAGACCAGCAAGGTCACCCAGAGGTCTGTGACACCTAGTATCAGTTCCTATCAAAATAACATGTCTCTTCTATGCATACATTTAAAAAACATTAATGACAGCACAACACTCAACTTTTTGTGTGTGCTCTAAATAATGCACCAGTGTATAATCATTTATTGTGGGTGGGCATTCATTGCTTAGGGGTGTTTTTATCTTTCAAGTTTGGCCTGGCAAAATATTTAATCACTTTGATTAGAATATTAGCGGATTTCGAGTGCATTGATGTGGCCTCCATGTTATGATTTACTGGAGGCAGTATGCAGACAATATTACTTATTTAAAATAAAATTAAAATAATATCTGTGGTCTGTATTTTCTCATAAATCTGACAAGTCTTATTGCCATCTTTTCTTACAAAGATCATGGCGGCAGACTACAGCTAGCTCAGAGGGAAGGAACCCTAGCAATATTAATATGGAAGTGTATGTTTTTCCCTACATGGTTTCTTTTCAGTATTGTATTGGAAGTTTCCTTCTTGCTTTTGTTTTGTTTGAAATATGTGCATTCAGAAAGTACAGCTAAGTGAATATAAGAAGTTATTCTGCCATTTTTCCTGTGTGCTGTCTAATTTCTGACACAAGAATTCTTTAAAAGATGTTGCTTTTTGATAGAATGGGATGGCCAGTATGAATATACTACATGACATTAGTACTCTTACAGGAGTAGAACATATTTTTGTGCATCTGTTAATACTTCCTTTGAGGTTGAATGGGGCATCTAGCCTTGTTGGTTTGTCATCCAGAATGCAATTCTTGAAGTAACAGAGATGGTCAGACCTTCATGTAACATCCCAGGGGAGAAAAGCAAATGCTATACTTCTTCTTAAAGTCCAAGCCTTGAGGCGTTGGTAGTCAAGTCTGTCCACAACCTTCTGTTTCGTGCACTTTCAGTCAACTCTAACACAGATGATCCTCCATGCCATGATGTCAAACTGTCCAGCATCTTTTCTCTTGGTCTCCCTCTGCCTCTTCTCCCGATATACTACATAATTAAATTGAGTGCTGCTCTTTCTGTCTGGACAGTTATTTTAAAATAAACATTCTGGATCAGAAAAAAGATATATTTACAAAATGTCTGGTACTGAAAAAGTTGAGAAAACTCTTGCCTGAAATTTTTAGATTATTTCAAATGGTTAAAAGAGGAATATTTAAACTGCATAATGAAAATAAAGTACAGAACAGACTATTTAATGGCATATGTAAGTTACCATCTATGAAACTTGGTTTACTAAACATACGGACACATGGCCAAATACTAATCCCCTCTTGGTGAATAGTTAAAAAGTATTGGCTTTAATGAAACAATTAGCTTTGATGAGATATTGACCAGTGAAATATTTTAATGAGGTTCAATGCCCGGTATTGGCAGGAATTGATTCTTTTCTGATCAATCATACAGATATAGGATCCTGTCTGATAAAAGTTAGTAGCAGATATTTTTGGTAATGGAAGGCAGCTAATCACTGCACTTGAAAAGAACCTTTATCTTTAGTTTGCGTAGTAAGTAACAAGCCCTTTTTTCATTATTAGCATATCTGGCATTTTGCTGACCATCTCTGTTTCCAATAATTCCTAGTGTTGATTTCAAGGCCCCCATTGGGAAGGGGGGGGGGGGGGGAATACATCCACTGCCTCCTCAACAGTCATACCAAAAAAGTGGAAATTTAGGGTTTGGATGTATTTAGCCAAAAAGTGCAGAAAAAGCTTAGCTGTTAACCACAAAGAGTGTGCTGACTGTTTTTTTAAAAACTTTTCCAGTACCATAAAGATTTGCTTGAGATGCCAAAGTAGAGAAACAACCTTGATGAAAAAATCATCAATGCATTGCTTTCAAAATGGCAGTATAAACAGTTATAATAATCATTTAAGTTGGTCAAATTTGTTTGTATGTTCTGGCTAAACTTTGAAATTAAGAGAGCACATTATGCTATGGAGGGAGTCCCAGTGTGGGTCCTGGGGCCCCATTGTGAGAAAAACAAGAACAGGACCACTGCCTACCCAAAAAAAAGCATGTCCTGGGAGTCAACTAATTAGGGGGCTTCCTTTGAAGTCTGAGTGCATCTGCCCGAGTGGTAAGGAACAATCAGCTGCACACAAATAAGCCAGTGAAACGGATGTACACTCAAAACTAGGGCCCTGGCACACAGCCAGAGTCTAAATGGACAAACAACCAGGCCCTTTTACCAGAGCTTACAATCGGGGAACAAAGAAGCAGAAGAAGAAGAAGAAGAAAGAGTTAAGGGTGAATGCAGAATAACAAGAAGAAGAAAACTTCTCTGAATATTTCCTGTTGCCCATTCAAGGCTGTTTACCCAGGAGTCAAGTTCATTTATATAGAATATGTCCTAATGAGGATACAAAATGAAGAACTTTTGGATGGCAGCCAGGTGTCTAGCCACTGAGCTACAATGACTCCATTTGCTTTCACACCTTATATTAGTGTGGCATATTTGTGCTATAATGTTTGTGTAGCATATTTGTACTGTAATATTGGTGCAGCATATTTGTACTGTAATGTTGATGTAGCATATTTGTACTGTAAGGTTGGTGCAGCATATTTGTACTGTAATATTGGTGCAGCATATTTGTACTGTAATGTTGATGTAGCATATTTGTACTGTAAGGTTGGTGCAGCATATTTGTACTGTAATGTTGATGTAGCATATTTGTACTTTAAGGTGGGTGCAGCATATTTGTACTGTAATGTTGGTGTGGCATGTTTGTGCTGTAATGTTGGTGCAGCATATTTGTACTTTAATGTTGATGTAGCATATTTGTACTGTAATGTTGATGTAGCATATTTGTACTGTAATGTTGATGTAGCATATTTGTACTGTAATGTGGGTGCGGCATGTTTGTGCTGTAATGTGGGTGTGACATATTTGTACTGTAATGTTGGTGCTGCATATTTGTGCTGTAATGTGGGTGTGACATATTTGTACTGTAATGTTGGTGTAGCATATTTGTACTGTAATGTGGGTGTGACATATTTGTACTGTAATGTGGGTGTGACATATTTGTACTGTAATGTGGGTGTAGCATATTTGTACTGTAATGTTGGTGTAGCATATTTGTACTGTAATGTTGGTGTAGCATATTTGTACTGTAATGTTGGTGCAGCATATTTGTACTGTAATGTTGGTGCGGCATATTTGTACTGTAATGTTTGTGTGACACATTTGTGCTGTAATGTTTGTGTGGCATATTTGTGCTGTAAATGTTTGTGTAGCATATTTGTACTGTAATGTCGCTGCGGCATATTTGTGCTGTAAATGTTTGTCAACTCTCTTAGTGTTATTTTCTCACTCACTTTAACTTTTTAAAGGGAGGTGGCCCGGTATGGCATTTCGTACAAAAACTGCCACAGAAGGTAGAGAATTCTGCATGCAGTACATCTTCTTCTTATCACCAGTGTTTGCTTGCACAGTTTTCTCACCCCTAACTTCGCTTCACTGTTAATAAAATCTTTAAAACACATTGTGCTTTTAAGTAAGTTTATCAAAATATCATAGTTTTTTAAAATTTACGTACAAGAAATAAACTGTTTTTTTTTTGGCTTTAAAAGTGTGCAGTCCAACATTACTTATACATCGGCTCGTTTAGCACTTTACATTGTTTCTGCAAATGCATTTTCTCATCACCGTCTTTCACGGCAAAACCTGTTTCATTTACTTCTGTTTGAATGTAGGTTTCATTTATTGCCCTCCAGCATGCATGACATTAATTGTTTGCATGAGTTTCTGTTTCTTTCAGACTAATGAAATTAAATGTAGCAAACAGTTGTGAAGATAGGTGAAATATATTAAAATGTATAGATTGAGAGAATCACATTACATGTATTTATGAGGACAGTCATATTCTTTATCACATTTCTGGCTAGCACCTTTTTTTGTTTTTAAAGGTGTCAATTGTTTTTTGCACTACTGTAATAGACACTTGAGTTGAGCTGAGTCAAGAATTGATATCACAGCACTCTGGGCATTCCCATGCATACTCCTTCCTCATCTTCAGCAGCCAGTGATGATACTGGTCACAATCTGGTTTTTTTGTCTGTCTTGCCTTTCCTCTGAGTGCAGTGAGACGACCAGACCCTCTGGTTACACTTTGGTGCCTCATTCTCTCCAGGCCATATTAATCTTGTTTCTCTACTGATTAGATTGTTTGTTCCCAAAAGGCCTTGACCAAATCTGCCCTGTGATAAATCAGGTCACCAACCAGTGGTGCAGATCCAGCCAATATGTCTGCATGTTCATTACCCACTACGCCTGCTTGGCCTGGAGAAAAGATCCAAAGTATGCTCACTACCCGTGACCTTCCCAGTGAAGCTTGCCACTCTGCTCGAAGCATCCATGTCTTCACCTTTCTCAGCATGCTTTTAGAGTATGTTACAGTTACGACATGTGTATGCATCTTGTTCTCTAGCCACCGGAGAGCTGCACCTTCATTCTCATGCTAGATGTTGTGATGTCGTATGCTAGGCTGTCTTGCACTAAAGATTTTCTGTTGGCTTTTGCTATGAACCCCCAAGCACTTCTCTTTCCTCTCAACACCGAACCATTTGTATAGATAATCAGATCACCTAGGTCTGAATTTTCGTGAATCAACTGTTGGACTTTGCTCTCTGTAGCACCCGCTGGCCATTCTCTTCACTCTGTAATTGCCACTTTATTGTGGGTACTGCCACCATTTTTCGCGGATACTTTGTGGTGAATACCAGCACCTGTTCTTTTTTTTCTAGAAGAAAAACCCTGACTTTAGAGTGTCCCAGTATGCAGGTTCTCATTTTGATCAGACTGGGGGAAACAGGGGTGTCTGGGATTTTGCTCCTGTTAGATTTACAACTAAAAAGTGGCTTTTTGAGTCACTGGTTGTCAGTCCTTTAGGCTGCAAAGTGGCAAAATTAGAAAACAAGAACAGAAATAAAAAATTTGCTTTAAGTGAATCTAATTTCTAACTGCTAAATGCATATGCATGTGTATGTAATTATTCAGCCAGTTAAATGGTTGAAAATAAAGGGTATACTTCCCCCACCCTACCCACTTTTTAAACAGAAAAATAGGTGCCGGTACTCATCACAGAGTGTCTATTACATCAGTGCTGAAAACAGAAATTGTTTAAAAAATGTGCTGGTATTGCATACCAATACGTACCACCAGAAAAGAAAGAAAAACAGCCATTTTGGAAAAAAAAATGTGTTTGTCCAGACTGCATGTACCTGTTGCTCCCAGATGATGTTTTCAAGCTGTGTTCAGTTGTTTTATTCTCACTTCTTCTTTGTGCTCATGAAGTATATTTATTTGATATGTTTATCTAATATATCAGCATATACTGCTTTTAATAAATTACAATCATCATAAAGACTAAGTACTTCTTCTTCTTTTAAGCATTCCAAGTCTTTCAGGTTCATAGTCCCCAGTGGGTTCCAGGGCCCTATTGTGGGGAAATCAAGAATTGACCCACTACCTTCCCAGCAAGCATATTGTAGGAGTCAACAAATGGGGACTATCTTCAAAGTCAGAGTGCATTTGCCCCAGCTACATCTATTTTAGCTGTGCTCCAAGTTTCAGAGACATAAAACACGACTGGTTATATCAACATTTTATATATTTTGATCTTGGTTATGTGAAATAGTAACTTTGACTTTAGCAGATGTTGAAAGGCATAGTCTACTTTGTTTCCAGATTGTATTCTAGATTATATTTCTTCTTTCAGCATGTTGGAACAGTTAAAGTTCACACCCAAGTTCTTATATGTTTCTGTTCGTTTGATTTTCATATTGTGGACTTGTATGTGGCCAGAGTTTATATCCTTTCCTTGTCTTGTTATTATCATACATTCTGTCTTATCTTGATTGATAAGTAAAGACTAAGTACTACAAACTCTAAATTTCAGACTTGTAACATGCATGTTTGATGTGCATTTTTAAAAATAGCTTTCTTTTGTTAAAGTAATACTGTTTGGCAGATGCAAATTTAATGAGAACCATACAGTTTCTTTCTGATGGTAAAAGCTTGGCAAGCATATATTACTCTTGTGTTCTGTTAGAATATTCTTGCCTGATTGTAATTGTATTTTGTGTCTTACCAGACTGCTGTTATATTTCACTCAAATTATACAAAATAAACATCTTTTTTATCATTGTAAAGTAAAACCCTCTAATGTGATAATATTATTCAGTATTTTTACCTTCACATTTATGGACTGCAGACTTTTAATAACAACTAGATAAATTAGCTGGCAGCTTCTAATAAAGGAAATGAAGACTTGATCCTATTTCAAACCAAAAAAAGCTGTAATTTTATTTACCAATATTTGCTTATAAGTTTACGTTACTTATTTTTTTTCTTTTTTAAGCTTAACAGTTTATTTATAAAGTTAGACAGCTCTGATTCATCAGTTAATTAAAAACGAAAAGAAAATATGACAGTATCATAGAATTTGTTTGCATTTATCTATAATTATATTTTAAAGTTAGCTATTCTTAAAATTGGTATGTGTGTATCTGGGGTTACAGGGTACAGCAAGAAAATCTGTTAAGTAACTTCTTCTTCTTCTTAGCGTTCACCGGCTGTTAACTTAGGTGGAAAGTTCTGGTTATTTGTCCACTTGTGGACTTTGCTATTGTTCCAGAACTTGAGTATTGCCTGCACATCTGCTTTGCTAGTCTAGCTTACTTGTATGCTGACTGTTGGTTAAAAGCCTCTCTGGCTGATGCACTCTGATTGCAAAGGAAACGATTCCCTAATTAGTCATCTTATAGTACCTACTTGTAGGGCTCTGTAGGGCTATTCTTTGTCCCCCAAAATGGGGTCGCAAATCTACATGGGGATGTTAGGTAACAGTAACAGCGTATCCTGTTAAACCTCTATACCTTAGACTTATTCCAGAACCTGAGTGTTGCCTGCACATCAGTTTTACAGATCTTACTTATTTGTATGCATACTGTTGGTTCCTTGCCTCTCAGGCAGAAGCATTCCGACTTCGAAGGAAATCCCCCTATTAGTCTACACTTATGACATGCTTGTTGGGGAGGAAGTGGGTCTGTTCTTGTTTTCCCCACAATGGGGCCCCAGAGCCCACAATGGGAATCCTGTTAATAAAGTTCATTTAATTTTAAAAATTTGACTTGTAAATCTTTTACAGAATTTTGCAAGCCTGATCCAGGGATTTGTTGGCTGCGTCATTTTATATGGCAACTTTTGTTTAGTAGTTAGGTTGCCATTGTTTTCTTAATATTTCAGTGCTCATACTATTGTTGAAACAAACACATTCTGCTGCCATCTACAAACTCTGGTATATTGGTAGCAGCCTAGCATCTACAGGACATTGCAGAATCAACCTCAGAATTTTGTGGCTGATTTTGGTTTTACTGTGCAGTTTTACATTCATTTGTCTTTGCTTACTAAATGGTTGGCCCTCAATGTCCACTCAAAATTAACCCAAAGCGATCTGTACCAAATTCCTGCATCTAGAATTGAACCTGTACCTTGTAATCACAAAGCACATTTGAGATGCCTATGCCACAGACACCAACTCTGTTATATTTTAATTATAAAATTGTGCTCATAACCTTAAAGTTATAGACGTTGACTTTGATATTTAAATGATAAAACATACTGAAAAAAATTAAACAGCTTCTCTTTTGTGCTTACAGAAAACTCAGACGTGACAATCCCTCCAAAATTCTAATCAACCTTTGTTTAGCATTGATGCTTTCCAACCTAATCTACTTAGTGGGTATGCAAGACTACACGTTTGATAACACAGCGTCTTGCAAAGTAAGTCTTGTTTTTATTGTTTTCAGTTAATGAGTTTTGGGACAGAAGATGCTTTCATAAATAACATTGTTTTTAAAGCATTTTGTTTTAGACTCATATCCAGTCTCTTCAAAGGTGCTGTTGACATTTTGTATTACAGTTAACAGGCTGTGATTTCTATGTCTTTTTTGGCAGTACATCTAATTTTAGCAGACCCCAGTTGAGTAAATTGTTAATAAATTTTTTTTCTTGAAAATATGAACTTTTACCTAAATGTCCAGACTTTAGGGACATTATTTAGGAGTGTAGTAATGCACCTGACGAAATATGCCAGGCAAAAATGTGCGCAGTATACTCATCATCATGTGCCCTGCCAGGGGGTAGAGGAGCCCATTTCTGTCTGCAGATCTTTGCCTTTGGTATTCTTAAATCAGTTATGCTAATTATGATCCACCTTGCCAGCAGACATTGTTTTTATTGGTCTTTCTCTGCCTCTTCCACCGTTGATCTTTCCAGTCACCACGATGTTCTCCAGTGCGTCTCTTCTCATCACATGACCGAAGAAAACTGACTGTGTTATTCTTATAGTCACATAGTTTTCTGATTTCATTAGCAATTTTTGTATAGTTATTGTAGCCCGGCTCGCTAACGTAGTTGGTTAAACCTGACTTTGCAGCGACCGGGGGACAAACTCCTTGTGGTCCGGGTTCGCACCCGGGGGTAGGCAGAAAAGCCATATTTCTCCCAGATTTACAGTATTTATCATGGAATCAAGGCCGAAGGGTTTCGATATCCATAGTACCGAGCCATAGGATTAACAACTCCTGGTTTCTGGAAATTAAAAAAAAATAGTTTTTGTTACTCTCTTTATCTGTCCATGGTATCTTTAGCATATGTCTCAGAAAGCACATCTTCCTGGCCTCCAAGTCCCTCATTTGTTAATTCACATTCCAAGATTCACAGCCATGTAGTAGAACTAGCTAAATCAATGTAACATTTCAGTACATTGCAGTGTCCCTGTGTGGTTTCTAGGGTTCCTTTACGGAGGAAAAAAAACACCTACTGCTGCCTTAGCAAGCATGTCATAAATGCCAACTAACTGGGGGTGTTTCCTTTGAAGCTGGAGTGCATCTGCCTGAGAGGCAGGGAACCAACAGTCTGCATTCAAATAAGCCAGATCTGTAAAATGTATTTGCTCTCAAAGTTTAAGTTCTGGAAAAAAGAGTTTACAGCCAGCGAACGCAAGAAGAAGAAGTACCTTGCAATGCAATGCAATCTCCTGGTTATGAAAGTCATTAAAGTAATATAAATTCTGTATTGATACACCTGATGAGCAGTAGCTAAACTGTGCTGTATATTGTTTGTACCTTCATTGTGTACATTCAAAATGGGAAGAAATTGTGTTTAATAATGTTTTTTTGTTGAAAATAAAAAGACTTGTAAATATCTCTTGCTTCCAGGTTGTGGCCGTCTTGTTGCACTACTTCCTTCTATCATCCCTGACCTGGATGGCAGTCGAAGCGTTCTACATGTATTTGGCTCTCATCCTTGTGTTCAAGACATACTTCACCCACTTCATCCTCAAATGCTGTCTGGTTGGTTGGGGTATGTAGAAACATTTGCAACACTCTGGAGAGTTTAGTCAGCTCTGTTTGGCAGTCAGTACTTTAAAACAGTTTTCAGCATTGTTATTATTAATATGAATAGATTAATAATCATTAATTGCAGGATACTTGCAGAGATCAGTGTTTAACATGTCTTTACCCAATTATTGTGTTTAAATTATTAGTTTAATTTTTATTTATCTAAACAACTTTTCTTCCCCCCAATTATCCATACCCTCTTCATCTCCTTTGCTTCATAATAGCTCCTTCTGTCCTATTTTCCCCACAAATAGCAAAACAAATACTGGGATTAGTTTGCAAGTGTCCTCTTGTAGAGGATATGCAACTGTTTTTTCCCTCAAGTCGAATAATACTGAACGCAAATAGATATTTCAACAATGTTTTGTTGCAGGTGTTCCTTTGGCGATTGTCATCATCACTCTGGGTGTTAATTCCACTGACAATTATGGCATCATCAACAGTGGCCTGTAAGTTTTAGCAACAGCAGCAGTTGTTTATTTGTTGGTACTGAATATGTTGGCTCTAAACTTGTTCTGTTTTGTTTTCACAATTGACCTCACTGAATATAGGGCACTCCCATTTGTGCTCAGTCCTCTAGTGCAGCAGCCACTTTAAGGTACCAGGAGGAGCTGGTTATCATGTCTCTTACCTGGGTCTTTAAGGCAGCATAGACATGCTTCACTCTGCTTTACTTGTATTAGTGTCAGAGATTCGTTATTATCCACTAGCCCAGCCTGTACAGCGTTAACATCTGCTCTGTCCATGCTTCTTCCCGTATGTGTTGTCAGTTGATCCACTCACTGATTACCTTTTATGCTAGTATGACCAGGTATGTAGATCCAGGTAAGGGAGGTTAAGTGCAATTTTTGAAAGTCTGTATTACAATCAACTGGGGGCCATGGTAGCACAGTGGTCAGGTATTTGCTTGTTGACCCAAGGGTCTTGGATTTAAATCTACATCGAGTATTATTTTTTCAAAATTGATCTTGGCTGCCAGCCTGATTGTGTACCAGGCAGTGTCTTGGGAAGTAAAGGCTGCTGGTGTGATGTTAACCACATCTGACTCAGAGTGTTGATGGACCTGTAAACATATGAGTCTAGCTTCACATGCCTGATGCACCCTGGCATCAATAGGGTTCTTCACTCGACTTACAGTCACTTTCTCTGAATCTATAGGCTTCACAAGATCTTCCTACAGTCCCTACCATATTTCATTGTTCATCCTGTCTGTTCACATCTGTCTGAAGTGCTGACAAACCATTTCTCGCAGAAGAGATGTTTGCCCATGCTCATCTTTGTCGCGATTTTCTAAACTGTCTAACCTCCCCTTTCTTAGTGTTCCCTTGCCTCTGTTCTCTCATTTCTCTACAGTCACAGAGTACTCCACATTTTCCCTCCAATGTTTGCCTCCAAGTTCTCCCTCCAATGTTTGCCTCCAAGTTTTCCCTCCAAGCTTTCCCTCCAATGTTTCCCTCCATTGTTTCCCTCCAAGTTTTTCCTCCAATGTTTCCCTCCAAGTTTTCCCTCAAATGTTTCCCTTCAAGTTTTCCCTCCAAGTTTTTCCTCCAATGTTTCCCTTCAAGTTTTCCCTCAAATGTTTTCCTCCAAGTTTTCCCTCCAATGTTTCCCTCCAAGTTTTCCCTCAAATGTTTCCCTCCAAGTTTTCCCTCAAATGTTTTATCTCCAAGTTTTCCCTCCAATGTTTCCCTCCAAATTTTCCCTCAAATATTTCCTTTCAAGTTTTCTCTCCAAGTTTTCCCTCCAATGTTTCCCTCCAAGTTTTCCCTCAAATGTTTCCCTCCAAGTTTTCTCTCCAAGTTTTCCCTCCAATGTTTCCCTCTAAGTTTTCCCTCCAATTTTTCTCTCCAAGTTTTCCCTCAAATGTTTCCCTCAAAGTTTTCCCTCCAATGTTTCCCTCAAAGTTTTCCCTCAAATGTTTCCCTCCAAGTTTTCTCTCCAATGTTTTCCTCCAAGTTTTCCCTCAAATGTTTCCCTCCAAGTTTTTCCTCCGTTTCCATGACATGCTGAAAGTATATGGAATGGGTCCTTTTTGTGAGTAAATTTCCTTTAAGACATCTTCCTTGTTCTTTGTATCTGTCACTTGTGGTAATTACAAGATTACATTATATGTTTTTTACAGCAATTTTATAGCTAATGCGCTGGTTTTGGTTGATTTTACGTTCTCCTGCAGAGCCTAAGATCATGGGCTCAAATCCAAATGGAGCTGGCCTTTTTTTTTAAATTATTTTTTTTTTTAAATATCCTTGGTTTCCAGGTTGACTGAACTTTACATGGATCCCAGGTCAAGTTCTGGGAAGTAAAGGCGGCTGGTATGGTGTTGGCCACATCACCCACCGAGTGCTGATTGGTCTTTACAATACAAGTCTAGCACAAAATGCCTAGCATGCATGAAGGCATGGAAAAGTGACCTTTATTTACTATGGTATTTACAAAGTATTATTACCATGGGGACTGTGTTACAGAGCTCTCCATCCCCTCCCCAAGTACAGAACCCAGCAGAATATTCTTGACCGATATTGAAACTTCACATCTATAGAGAATGAACAAACATAGTTTATTTTCAAAGATCACAAATTGGGCACACAGGCCTGTCTTACATTCAGCCCTTCAAAATGCTCATCTCACACAGCTTCAGGGGATCAGAATTTCACTTTGCTTTTCTTCTGCTCATTATCCCTCAGTGAAGCATAATCCCACCCTGGTCCGGACATCAGACTACTTTGTAACTGTCAGCTTGCTCCAGTTTAACCTTATAGTTGCATGGGGCTTACCGAGATTTGTACATCTAGGATTCTCATCCTTGAGATGCGACTACTTTGGACTGCAAAACTCAAAGGGACAAACTACAACAAATACAGTGAAGCAAAGGTCATCCTATTGTTTGTCATCACACAAGCTCATCCCATGTCCTCTCCATCTGTTCCACCTCTTTATCTAATTCTCTTCTCCTTGTGTTTTGTTTTGTTCTGCCTTTAACCCTGTACAAAGGCATTCTAGTTATATTGTTTTAAACTTTCTGAATGTCTGTCCTATCGAACACCAGCATCTTTCCTCATTTCTAGATTCCTTGGAATTCTGCGTCTGCTTACTTAAGGTTTGACTCCTCAATGATCCTTTGTATAATGCATATCCTGGAACAGGACAAATTCCTTATACCCCATTCAACCTCAGAAGGTCTAATTACAACACTTGTAACCAGTACGCCAAAAACTATCCCTAAATAGCCTCATACCCAGCCTGGTAGAGACTGGATCCTTGCATTAAACAGTTACCATGTACACTAGTGTCAATCTTCCATATATTTTTAAATTACCATCAATTTAGTACGCATTATCTCTCTATATTATATTCTCCACCACAGATGCTGGCTGCGGAACCCTGCCTTTTATGCTGCCTTTGTAGGTCCAGTCTGCTTGATTCTACTGGTCAACTTACTGGCTTTTGGCCTGGTCATGAGACAGCTTGTCAGTATTTCTGGTTCCGATATCAGCAAAACAGACAGAAACAGGTATATTGCAGTGTCCTCCCTTTACTACAAAATATGAAATTTTTTTGTTTTGTTTCTACATTTCAGAAGAGCTGTGGATTTTGAGTGTTTACTTACTTTATAATTAAAGAATTTTTTTAAAGACTTTTTTTGCTGATATTGATTTTAATGATTAGTAAACAAGTAAGTTTGTATTGGCTGGTTTGAACAGTTAGAAAAAAAAATTACACATGTATGCAAGCAAGTGCACACACATACACACAAGCACCTGCACACACATAGGGAGAGAAACACAGGGAGAGAGAGAGACTGAGTGAGACTCATACTGACTGTTTATATTGTGGCTGAATAAGCCCACTGGCTGGATAAAAAATAAGCTTGAAAACTTAGTAACAGCTACCAAAACTTGATGGGAAAAGAGTGAAAGGCTGATGAACACAAATACTTGAATTGCTTGACCCCATAGAATAATCATGACAAAAACACAGACCTAATGTTAGTGATTATATGAAATTGCAACCATGACTATCATGAAGGTAGTTAAACACAAAGCAAACTATGACTGGAAAGCTTAGAGGAGGGAAAGGGAAATGATGCATACAAATATAATGGAATAATTTGCCAGTCTCTGTGGTTAGTTACATCTGGATAGTGATTAGTGATTTTAAAGAATTATCATCACAGCACTCCGGACAGATCCATAGGTGCTCCGATCTCCTCCTCAAAAGCTCCACAAGTGTAAAACGACTGATGGCGCCTGTTCTATGTTGGTTAATGAAACGTCTTGTCCCCTTAGTGAAATGTTCATTTCTTGCAGCTCCAGGCTGCACCCCCATGTCCATCAGTCTAGACAGGGATATGGAGTCATGTCCTTTGGCGTGCTCTTCGGTACGGTTAGTGCAGCGCATGGCATTGATAACATCACTTCTGTCCAGTACCAGGCCAGCCATATCAACTGCAGCAATCTGGATAGCTAGATTGCAGTCACTCCAGTTTGCATAACCAACTATCTTACTGGCATGGCACATGATGACTATGACAGATAAGCTAGATTTATTACTATTTTCTATCAGAAGTAAAATGAATGGGAGCTGCTGTGATGTAGCAGCTAGATGCTCACCTGCGGATAGGAAGGTCATGAGTGCAGGTCCTGGCAGAGCTGGACTTTTTTCCAAAAATGACCACGGCCTCTAGGCTGACCCAGCCTTAAATGGGTAGCAGGTAAAGTCCTAAGCAGTAAAAGCGAGAGGCTTTATGTTAACCCATCACTCACCGAGTGCCGATTGGACTGTAAAATATACATCTAGCCCTATATGCCCAGTGCACCTGAAGGTGTGGAAAAGGATCTTTCACTTTAAATGAAATAAATACAATATAAACCATTCTTTTTCTATATATAATAAGTAAACAGATAATGTATTGATGGGCACTCATACAAAGAAGTAGAAAGATAGAAGGACACACTAGACAACATAAAAATCAAAGACTCTAGTTACCATGCTGGAAATCGAATCTGCCACATCCAAATGGCGTGTGCACCTTGCTATGGAAACAAGTTTACTAACATGACCAACTAGTCAGGCCCAAAAAAGGTGTCTTCATTGGTCTTCTCTATCGTACAGCTTGAAATCCACAACTATGGAATACAGACAGAATTCATCTTAAACATTGAAATGGCACCATAGATTATAGAAATATATTTTAACCAAGCATATGTCGAATAACATACACAGCAACAACTTACAAACACAGCAGTTCTTTCTTCTTAATCTATCCTACTACATATGCCATAGAGCTTCACAGAGAGAAGTTAGATTTAGTTTCTTATCATTTGCTAGTTGCAAAGCTTGTTTAAATGTCATATTGCATTTCTATAACATCTTTTTTTCCAACTGCCTCTATCGGTGTCTTTTTTAGTCGGCCTCTTCATTTGAGGCCTGCTTTTCTCATGTAGTGCACTCTAGCTGCTAACTGATTTTGTTCCAATTTGAACTGATGACCAAACCATTTGTCTCTTTTATTTTCCATGAAATCATTTACAGGAACTGTGCTTACCACTGTTCTTAGTTATTCAGTGGTGACTGTCTCTTCTGATTGTTTCTGCCACATTTCTTATACATCTCATCTCGCATGTTATTTAACATTTATGTTTTTTTAGGACTGTTTATGCCTGGCATTGAGAACACACAGTTTGTACAAATAGCAAATTTATCAGCTACTTTTCCCTTTTTTCGTTTTTGATTTTTGAAAGCAGCATAAATCATTGAATGTTTCAATGTCTGCAGTACAATCCATCGTCTGAGAGGAGCTGTCGGAGTCGTGGTTTTACTTGGACTGAGCTGGTTGTTTGCCATTTTTGCTATAGGTCAAGCTAGCATTGCTTTTTATTACCTGTTTGCTGTGTTTAACTCTATGCAGGTGAGTCTGTTTGAAATAATTTGTAACTTATTTATTAAGGCATAATCAAACTCACCATCATCATCGTGTTGCAGGCCCTTTGCAGGACTCACTGTCATCACAGCCTGCTGAATGAAATTCGGTCTCTCCAAGATCTCCCACCTTCTGTACTTTTTGTACTGAAGATGATACTTATATCCTGTCACCATCTTTGTGCTTGTCAGTCCCTGCCCCTTTTTTCTGTCGCCACGCCGTCTGCCATTGTTCTTTCCAATCAACCATGGCACTTGATACAGTTAAAATATTTTCCTAGACAAGATGCCATTTACTAGCCAATCTTCCTTGATATTCAGATAGATCTTTTAGGTATTTCTTTCCTTCTTGGTCCATTGTATTCTGAAAATCTTTCCATAGTCTTTCAGTTCAGAAACCCCTGTTTTCTTCCTTAATGACAGTGACCCCCCATCTGTATATTGCTACAGGGAAGATGCATGCTCTCAGAATTTTGACCTTGATTTCCTTGCTGGTGCTTAACCATAGATTTTCAGTGCTGTTTAATATGAAACCCACCAGAATGGCTTATTGCAAGCATGTGAAAAGTATGTTAGTAGGTGTAACAGAATTAAACCAAGCAGCTTTAAAGAAGCAAGCACGACCTGGGGTTATCAGATGTAGTCACTGTAGGCGTTTAGCAATGCATCCCACTGCTTGGGGAAAAATAGAGATTGCTGTCATGGAAGATGGACTTTGCTTGCTTTTTGAACCATTTCATCATTGGGGTCATGATGATTGTACTGGTGTAGAATTATTGTTAGGTGTTGAACCATTTTAATCATTGGGGTCATGACGATTGTACTGGTGTAGAATTATTGTTAGGTGTTGAACCATTTTATCATTGGGGTCATGATGATTGTACTGGTGTAGAATTATTGTTAGGTGTTGAACCATTTCATCATTGGGGTCATGACGATTGTACTGGTGTAGAATTATTGTTAGGTGTTGAACCATTTCATCATTGGGGTCATGATGATTGTACTGGTGTAGAATTATTGTTAGGTGTTGAACCATTTCATCATTGGGGTCATGATGATTGTACTGGTGTAGAATTATTGTTAGGTGTTGAACCATTTCATCATTGGGGTCATGATGATTGTACTGGTGTAGAATTATTGTTAGGTGTTGAACCATTTCATCATTGGGGTCATAATGATTGTACTGGTGTAGAATTATTGTTAGGTGTTGAACCATTTCATCATTGGGGTCATGATGATTGTACTGGTGTAGAATTATTGTTAGGTGTTGAACCTGTTCTTCTTCTTTTTTGCATTCCCCAGCTGTAAACTCTGGCAGAAAGTTCTGGTTGTTTCCACTTCTGGACTGTAGTCCTTTTCCAGAACCTGAATATTGTATGCACATCCATTTTACAGATCTGACTCTTGTGTATGCAGACTTTTGGTTCCTTGCTTCTCAGACAGACGCATTCTGACTTAGAAGAAAGCTCCCAGTTAGTCGAATCTTACACCATGCTTTTAGTTAGGCAGTGGGTCTGGTTATGTTTTCCCTACAATGGGACCCCGGAACCCACACAGGGATGAACTTGTTCAGTACTAATCATGGAATTCACCCCATCTCACTCAAGCACAAGATTTTGTGGCCGTTCTGACAGGCTTTCCCATGTTCTAGGGGTGTTATGAGATGCCTTTCTTCTCTGTCTATACATACCCTCGCAAAAACTGACTCGTGTTATTTAAACACAGTTGACACAGTCTCCCAAATTAAACTGCACAGCTTTCTTGTCGCATCTGTCTTTTCTGTGAATAGCTGTCTTTTCTCTAATGTTGTTGTTGTGAGTAGCTAAGGCGCTGCAAGCGCCAGTGTACAAGGAAGACGTACTGCACGGGGAAGCGCCGAAAAACGTGACGGTTCGTGGGTAAAGAATCATTGGTTTTTGTATTTCTACGCTCGCTGGTGGTGGCTGTCATCGGTGCTGGATGTCGACAATGGTGGATGTTCTTAAAATGTTCAAAACAAGCAACACCTGACACCCCTAGAACATAGGACTGCCCGTGGGAACCAATACAAAATCATACATCTGAGCAATATGGAGTGAATTCTTAGATTAGTACCACCTGTTTAATGTGTAACAGTGAATCTTTGGATGTAAACAGACTGGATAGAGCTTGAGTCAGCAGAGGAGTTTTGATAGAGTAATGGCTAAATGCTCATCGGCCAATCTGAATGTTTGGGGTTCAAATCCTTATTAGGGCAACTATTTTTCAAAATTGACTTTGGCTCCCAGTTTGACCCAGCCTAACATGGGTTAATATTCTAGGAGGTAAAGCAGTTGACATGATATTGAAATGCTTCTGTAACATAATGTTTGAAATTTACTTGATTATTATTTTCATCACAGATCTGTTAATGTTGAGTAAACTGCTATAGTGATTTGTCACATTAAAAAAAAATTAACAAATTTAATGAATAGCAAATGTAATCAAATGTTACGCACTTATTGTGCTGTTATTGACTTTCATCACTTGTAACTGTGGTTCTGATGTTGTAGTTTTCTTTAAAGGAAACCTTTGCATTTGACTTGAGCCTATGAATTGTTAATGTTTATTATCATTTCCTTCCCAGGGCTTATTCATTTTTATATTTTACTGCCTGCTGAAAAAAGATGCTGTTGTATTTTGGAAGAGATCATTGCCCTGCTTTGAGGAATATGGAGAAACATCAAAGACATCTTCTAACAGTAGAGGTAATTTTGTTTTGTTTTTATAGACATTCCATTGAATTTTTAATGCAACCATACTTATTTCAGAGCATGATATTTTTAGTTTTGATACTTTTTCTTCACTCCCTGTTTTCTACTTTTGATGTTGAGAGAAAGACAGTGTTCTTGTTCTTGCTATAATGGCTGCCTTCAGTATTGGACTTGATACCATTGTTCTTTTCTTTACACTTGGTCTGCTCTTGCTCTACGCCCCTCTTCTCTTTTGTCGTAAACCCTGTTTTTCCTGTGTGGGTTCCCTCCAAACATGTCTTAGGAGTTGACTAATTGGGGACTTCCTTCGAAGTCAGAGTACATCTGCCCGAGCAACAAAGAACAACCAACTGCACACATATAAGCCAGTAAAACAGATGTTCACGCAAAACTCAGGCCCTGGCACAAAGCTAAAATCCAAATGGACGATCAACTAGGACTTTCCGCCAGGGCTTACAGCCGGTGAAGAAAGAAGAAGCAGGATAAGTATACCTTGTATGGCAGGGCAGGTCAACTGGCGGCCTGTGGGTGAAATCTGGCCCACAGATTCCTAGAAAGTGGCCTGCAGATCATTGCCATTTATACTATATCAATGAGCTGTGTATGCTGGAACTTAGGCTCTGGCCTGTGACGACCCAGATTTGATAAATTTCAGTGAACCGACCGGAATAGATATGAGTTGAATTAGCAATAGAATCTTTGGAACTCTTTACAGCAACTTTTATAATACATTCATAATTGTATGCCATAAAACTTAGCCATTTATGATTCTGAATAAGTCTTCGTCATAAAACAATGAATTGCTTCAATGTTTGATTTTAATGAATTATGTTTTTAAGTTAACAAAGTTTGTACAAAGTTAGCATTACTGTAGCAATTTTTATTGCTGTGTTGGGTGGGTGGGGGGGGGGGGGGGGGGGGGTATGCTATATTTGAAAGAAAGAGATTATAATGACAGTGATTGTAAGATTTACAACAACAACAAAACAATAATCAGAAAGACATATGTTCAGAGTATATGAAATAAGACAAAAATCTTAACTAATTTCAGTCATTTCTGTGATATGTGTTCCTCAAGGTAAAGTTTTATATTACCTTTTTCGTCCCCATTTATTTTATTTTTTATTAAATTATTTTGTGGTGTCGAAGTATTCCATGTTTTAAACAGCATGCATTTGCCTTATTTTTCAAAATATTAAAACCATTTTTTTAGGATTAGGTTAAAAAATAAAACAGTTTTGTGTGATACATATGTGCACCATAAGATTTAGCATTAAAAAGTCTTGAATGGGCAATAACTGAAATCAAAATGTTATAATAACTACTAATTAACAGGCCAAATAAGACAGTTATCATGCTGTTTGATATAGCTTATTGTAAATTGACTTCTACTTTTACAGCCAAATATGCACTGAGAATATATTATTTATGTTTGAATTCTAAATCCAGTCTGAATTGTTCATAAAGATTTGTTGCTGCACACTAAATTTTCAAATTATCTTTGAAAAATAGTTGATTATACTTATAAGTCTGGCCATATTAAGGTCAATATATACCTTACGTCCTTTTTAGGACGTAATTTTTTGTTATTTGAAGCCCCACTCTGGCTTTTGCCAGGGGCCGCAGTATAGGCAGGCCATCAATATGGCCAATTGTCTGAACACGGTTTCTGGGACCTCTCCACGGTGATCCTCATCCACATGGTGGCACTTTGTGTCATCGGATGTTTGTCGCTTGTGTGATGTCCTGGTGGAGTAGAAAGTCAGTCAGTCAGTCAATTCTGGCCATTACAGGAGAATTTGTGTGTGTGTAAACTATTAAGGATGTATTAGTAAATAAATCTTTTGCTTTTCCCTGCTTATTATTGTTCTGCGTCAGTTTCGTAATACGGTATGTCAGTTTATGTGTATGTTGTTCAACCCAACAAGGACTGTACAACGAGCGACCAACACCCGGTGACTCAAAGTGCCATGACTCAGATTGGGATCACCTGGGCACGAGTACCAGAAACCCTGTTCAACCGTTAGGTTATCTTAGGGCCCCCGACTAAAGCCAGAGTGAGGCTGGTTTTGTTGAGTCTGTTTATATTTTACATGTGCACAGTGCTTTCTAAGACACTTAAACATTGTTAGTAACACTTAAAATGCAATGCCTGATGTTTGGTGGGCTTTTCCCAATAAATCCTACTCATAAAGTAAAAATGTTTTCTTTTATTTATTTGTTTGGTTAAAACAGTCTCAATAGATCTGGCATATTAAGGAGCTAATTCCACCATTATGCCTCTTGGAAAGCGATGAAGTCATAAAAATTTTTTTTAATTACTTCCCCTCTCCATGATCATATTGTGAAAGATTATTAATACCCAGTGACTCAAAGAGATATAATTCAGATAAAACTCCAACAGGAGCAAATCACAGAAATCCTATTCAACTGTAAAATCCAGTTATGTTGGGGAGCCTGACAGTTACAAACTAACCAGCAGTACAATATGGGTGAGAGATTCAATCATTTCAATACCAGTTATCTCCCTTCGGCTGTCTGCAGAGAAAGTTAATGTTTTCAGTCCCAGAAGATTTGTGTAGTAATTTCCAGATTGAGGAAACAGCCATTTTGGGAAATCACAAGTGGCATGATTTACAGAGGCAAAATACATGTCAAAACGGCCACCAATAAAACAGTATTTTATTAGTATGCCCTAACAACAACAAAATATGATTTCTCAGATTCAAGACTGATGAGCCAGTTACACATTACACACTACTTAGCACTTCTTCTTTACCATGCACACGTCAACCCCATTATCCCAAATCCAGTCATCTTCTTGTGAGATGCAATTTTTCGTTATTTTGAAGCCCCACCCTGGCTCTTGCCAGAGGCCGCAATATAGCCCGGCCATAAATAAGGCCTAATGGGTGAACGCGGTTTCCATGACCTCTCCACGGGTGATCCTCATCCTTACGGTGGCACTTTGTTTCACCGGGTGTTTATCGCTTGTATGATGTCCTGGTAGGGTACAATTTTCTTATTTACTTACTTCTTCTTCTTCAGCATCAGCCCTTAAAAGCAAATGTTAGCACCTTATATTGTTGTTTACTGCAAGGTTACAGTATCGGCACCTTTTGGCCCTTTTTTAGACCATTTGTGACCTTTCACATCATGCTTGATTGTGGAGAAAGGGGGGGGGGGGGGGCAGTGAGTCCATTCTGTTTCTGCCTATAATGAGGCTCTAAAAGCCAAAGATAAAACTGTTTGGGACCGAAAGAATTATTGATTGATAATACAGGACTGATCACATAAAAAGTGGCTTTTAAAAACACGTGTCACTTCGCCACATTGTGACCAGACCAGTTCCCTGGCACTCTTAGAAAGCACTGCACATGAACACCATTAGGAACTTCATTTGTTTCCTGTAGATTCTTGTGTTATAATTTTTAAATATTTTATTTTATCACTTATTTGCACAAGCCAAGCTTATGATATTATTTGTGCTTGAGATTTCAGCAAGGAATTGAACTGCTGAATTTCTGTATTGTTATAGTGTATTTGTTTAGTACAGTGTTTCACTAAGTGGGAAGTTATGTTACATCATCACTATCATTTAGGTAAAGGTAATGTCGGGATATGTGAACTATCATCATTGGACACGGTTATAAACCATAAGTGCTCTGCCACCAGTACGGACAGCTGATAAGAAACTGTCCGCCTGTGTCACCGTCTGCACGTAACTCCGTAGCTACAGCGACGTTCCTCCATTCACCCCAGAGTGTTAACTCTGGTACCTATTTCCTAGAGGTTGGGTGAACCCCAGAAACCACCCGGTTTTGAACACCGACCATGGCTGCAGCGAGTCGCAGCTGGATTTGAAAGCGAGCCTCCTATCGACTGCGCTAACGTGGCTCTTTTAGGTCCTCTGCAAAACATCGCTGTCATCGTTGTATGCTGGAAAACCACTCAGTCCCCTGGCAACTTTCCCGTCTCATTAACTTTTATGGTTAGGGTACCCTTGATATTCTATGTTCACAATTAAACTGGCCAACCCCTGCCTCTTCTTAAGGAACCATACTTACCATTACTTATTTATTGTTATTCACCATCATACATTTTAGAAATTAGCTCCAGATGTGCCAAAGCTAATCAAGTAATGGGCCAACTATCTCCCCTGTTGACACACAAGCAGATACCTCAGAGTACTAAAGTGACTCTTATCAGAACTATTTTTTGGCCAATACTATGCTATCAGTGCCAAACGTGGACACTTACATCCTCCAATGAACGTAAAATTGTGACAACAGAGATGAAATGCCTTAGAAGAGCTGCAGGAGTTTCAAGGAAAGACAGAATACAAAATCATGAAATCAGACGAATGCTAGGAATAAAGCCAGTCTTACAGGTCATCAAAGAACAACAAATGAAATGGTTTGGACACCTAACAAGAATGCCCTGGTACTATCTGCCACAGCGAGCCACACTAAAACGTTACAACGGGTATAAAGCGAGTGGAAGACCTCGGAAAAGATGGAGTGATGGCATTAAGAACAGCCTTACAGAAATGAACATCAGTCTTAATAGTGCTCTTGACAGAGCTCATCAACGAACATTACATCTTCCCCCGACACTTCGATGAGGTACAAGGTGGAAGAGAAGAAGAAGAAGAAGAAGAATACATTTTAGAAATTCCACTTTCTTTCTTTCAAACTTTACTTTTCCATTCTGTTTCAGATTTTAGCACTGAATACTTCTTATTTTATGTTCACCTCAAAAAGGCGGTTGGCCTGTTGTGTTGTAGTTTACAGCTAGGACTTTTGGTCCAACATGTTCCATTTAAGCAAACTCAAAATTTGTCACCTTTTATTACATTCTTGTTAAAGATGGGCCTGTTTTTGTTCCCCCTCCATAATGGGTCTCTGGAACTCGCTCAGGGAGTTACTCTTGGAGTGCATCTCCCTGAGAGATGAGGAACCAGCAGTCTGTTTGCAAATAAGCCAGATCAGTGCAACTATTGTACTTGCAAAACTCAAGTTCTGAAACAAGACTTGAGTCTAGAAGTGGACAAACAACCAGAACTTTCTGCCAGAGTTTACAGCTGGGAACGCTAAGCAGAAAAGAAGAATAGACATACTCTGCTGGATTACAGATTTTTCAGAGAACACTAGAGATCATAACTGTATCTACAGTTTTGTGCATTTGTTGTGACACTTTGATTAAGCAATCCTCTGCTCAGCATAGAAAGACTACATCATTTAGGATAAAATTTGAGAACAGTAGAGTCAGTTTTCTGTCCTTTAAATGTCTTTATGTCAGAATTGTCACAGTGCCCCTTTAGTCTTTTATTTTGTCTGCATGTTTGTCTTCAAAATTACCTTGTGTGGAACATCTTTTATTAGTTTATGTTTTAAAAATGAGGTTTGTCTGTGTATTTTTTTGTTTCTTTCTATTTTGTATTGTAAATTATTTTTTGTAAAACTTGTTAAACTTTATTACAACAGGGTCAATTTTCTTTCATGTGAACACATTTTAAGACATGTCAAAAGTTTCACAATGTCTCTGGTTTTTTATTAGGTGTGCAGATTTGTCGTCTAAATTTTCTGGTGTTGACCATCTTGTTTAAGTCTGTGTTTTGAAAATGAGATGTATCCATGTATTTTCCTCTTTCTATTAGCTTTCTTTCAGATGGTTTATCTCTGTGCACATTCATTACCTTTAGATGTTCCAAGAAAGAGGAAAATGAAGGTTTGAACCCACAAGAATGCAAATGTCCCTAGCATGTGTTAAACCTCTTTTAACATATCAATGCCCTGTAATTTTTAGCCTTGGAAAATCTTGTTCGTAGTGTGTGTGTTTTTTTTTTAAAATCTTGGTTTCTATCTTGTATTTTTTTCAATATGTGCATGTTAAACATGTATTTGTTTAAATATTGCCAGGTTAAATAATGTCTGTGTTGTATCTGCTTCATATTTTGATTTGTAAAACATGTCCCTGTTGTATTTATTTCAATATGTGCATGTTAAACATGCATTTGTTTACATTTTGTCGGGTTAAATTATGTCTGTGTTGTATCTGCTTCATATTTTGATTTGT